CTGAACTCTATTCCACACGTTTAAACCCGATCAATCAAAGGTCCTCAGTGGACAAATGTTTAGAGCACCACTTAGTCAAAGAGAACACTGAAATCATCATCATCATCGTCGTACAGCTAAATACAGTGAAGCGAACTTCACTGATGGCTGCCAAGTTCACAATGTACACAAATCAAGTGATAAAGCACAATATGGAGAGGGATTGGGCCTAATTGGAGGGAGGCAAAGAAAGTTAACCTCTATGGTCAACACACAGAGTACACAATCTCACTATGCATACGTACCTTTTCAAGCGTTCTCATCTGATAAGAAGTGATAACAAGAACCGCCGGAACGTCGGTTACTCACCATATCCTTCAGTGTCTTCAGCCAGTCAGTTGCGGAATGTTTGGGAACCCAACCTGGAAGGCGTGAGACACATATTCTACCTAATTGCTCTGCGCAATTCTTCACACCCTGTTTCCACGTCATTTGTTAACCTCCTCCAGCTACTGTGAATAAGACTCGGTGCGGTAGATAATGGCTGGGCATGCACAATACGTGTCCTGACCAGCGAAGCCGGTTAATTTGAATTTTCCATTGAATCATNCTCCATCCAACTCGCGCCAAAATACGTAAACATCGGAAGTCGAAGACTTCTAGACGCAGAATATCTCCTGCGCACGAATTTAGGGTCTTGCAACCAAAAGAACTGAACGCATGCTAGTGCAGTACACACGACCTTTAATTTTCAACGAAACGTCGCGTCTGTACCAAAGGTGTTTCAGTCTAGCGTATGCTGCTCGAACCTTCGACATGTGGGCAGTTACTTCCTTGACTATGCTGCTATCATTTGTCACGTATCTACCTAAGTCTGTCAAGAGCGCTTTGCACATCCTCCATACATTCGAACAGGCGTGGGATGTAATCAGCAGACTCTAAGTCACACAGCTTGTCTCTAGCTGCCCATTCAATACCAACATTTTGGAGACCACTAATTGCGTTCTGCAGTATTTGGTCTACGCCGAAATCGAACAGGAATGGGGAACTAGGCCACTCTTGACGAACATCGCTCCTGGTTTCGAACGATTTACTTCGCCTACCGTAAACTCAGACAACTTCCGTGACGTTCCTTTGCGAATCAGTGACTCCATAAGAGCTTCGTGGTCATTTGAATCGGCGGCTCTGTTGAGGTCAAGGAGCATTGCGATGAAGTGTGGGCCGCCATAGAACAATCACATTAGTCTTGGTTATTGTCTTCAGTACATCCGTTGATATACCTTTAACCGTTTTTGAGCCGCAGATCCAATCGCCTTACGATCATAGGTACATAGGTGCGATCGAAACGGGTTCGTCGATGGCCCACTTGAAGACAGTCATAATTTGATATGTTCAGTTACCCTCGCGCAAACAATTCCCTATATATCTGAGACAAGTATTGAGTAGCCAGCCACCCGAAATTAGGGCAGACCTAATGTTTAGGGATGATCAAAGGTGACGCAACGACCCAATCTACTCGTGAACCTAGGGAGCTCATCCTGAGGAGCAAACTAAAATGCTTTCGTAGATTGAACTGGACAGGATTTGAGTCCGAGGATAGAACCGACTTGGAACTCAGCGGTTTTGAGAGCGGACCCTTGTTGCATTTTTATACTTGGGCCTTAAATAAAAATCGGAATTACCAGTATCGTGTAGCGTTTCGTCTGGAATTTATAGAGCATACTATCGACGATACATAGGATAGTGAAGAGCTAGTGATGGAATATCTAACAAAAAGATAGATGTATCGATCGCAAGTGATCACGTTCTAGGATTTAAGTATCCAATCAACTTACCGTTCGTCCATTTTTGTGGGGACTCGAATTGGATCCACATGATCTCCTCTGTTTTGCCTCCCCATCACGGGGGAGATTCCTTAAATTCCGTATTGGTTTTCTTTGTCAAAAAGTGACTGTGCTGTCCGCCTGTTCGACTCAGACAGTCAAGTAGAAACGAGGACAGTTTGGTCAGCAAAGTGTGCTTCAAATCGAACTCGTTGACTGATAAATCTGTTCTGTCATACAAAGGCTGAAATGCAAAATAAAGTTGAGCCACTACAATAGTCACAGTACTTTTGAAACAATCAACCATCGTTATTGATCTGCTTATTTGGTGGAGAATGAAATCCAACTAATTGGAGTCTGGTTTCCCCACAGATCTGTAGACAAATTGTGTGCACACTTTTCTGAGAAGGTTAATTTTGAGATGTCTGAAGTACAACGATTAATCACCGTTTCCATAGAATTCGAATGAATAAATAAATATTCAGTTTTAACGCTGTTGGAGATTTGATTTCATCATCACACTGGAATTTCTCATACACCACTTTACGAGACTACCTCAAAAATTAAGATATCCGAATGAGCTCCCGCACACTTACTTAGTCGACCGTTGTTTTTCGTCCAGCCTGATTATAACTCCCTTCCCTTATATCCCTCCCGATCGTTGATTGAAGTTCATTTGGTTTTTAACCAGGAAAAACTGTTGCCAGAAAATGACATGAAATTTTCGATCCCTTTATTCAACAAATTCTGAAGTATGAATCCCATTCTGAACGTTTTCACGCGGTTAGTATCAGATCGTTTTTTGTTTCAACTTCCAACTTTCGATTTCCTAAAGTGCGCACTCTTTATCACTTCTCTTTTGGCCTAGATAAACCACTTCATCTGACCCTCCTCAAGGTTCTGTCATTTGCCCTTCCCCGTTTCTGATGTGCATTGATGACTTTTGTTCAACTTCCAATCGCCATTCATACCTTTACCGATGACGTGGAGTATTAGGAATAAAAAATCGTAATGAGATAGCACGAACTCGGATTCGGACTGAAAACCCACGGAATAGCGCAAAGTCAGGTAGAACCAAGACCAGCTGCGGATACAGTTAATTCTATTCGGAAATTCATGTATATAAATATCAAAAGCATGTGACAATCATTGGCTGATTCTTCAATGTCCAATCGAAATTGATATGGTTCATTTAGTTGCATTCAGCCAATCCTACTAGTGCTACTTACCACCCCGGGATTGGTCGGGAAACCTGTTTCCTGATTGGCTGCCTGAAAAAGATGTATCATGGTGCATGCGTACTCACTGCACGATCACCACATGACGCTACCGTCTTCACGCATCGCTCAATCCAGTATTAGTGATGACTGCTTCTCCTTCAGTTTGTCCCTAAATTCTGATGTGGATCTAATTTCTGCTCGGGTTTGTCACAATTGTTCTCTCCTTAATGCCAATGAAAAATCCATTGTGTCAATTTATCTTAAACACATATCTTTCTTTTAATTCAGACCGAGGAAAACTCTCGATGGACTAAACAGGAAAGCATCAGTTGTCCGAGATGGTTATTTAAAAACTGCATAAACTGGGTAAGAGGTACAGCGCTTCATGTCAGCGGGAAGTCCGTTCACATTTTGCAGACAGACGACAGTGTCCACACATGTGCGCCATAGATTCCAGGTTCTAGGTAAACAATCCTTGGCGGTTGACTCCTGCGATCTGTGCACTACTGGATTAAGATGTACCCAATATCTCAGCTCTTATGTTAGAAAAGAGAAATACGTAAGCATCGATACGTGTCCACCATTTGATACACTCTAATCGCACAAAAACACGTGATTTCGCTCCTCAGTATATCGTCAACGTTGGGTGATCAAAAAGGTTGTGAACTTGTGATAATCCTAGCCTACGAGATAACGCCCACCACGGAACAAGGTGGTACAGTTTCAAGACAACTGCGAGGAGTCAACCTTCCCAGATGACACTAGCCAAGCGCCTACACGTTCCAGTTTCCGGACAACGAATCACAGGCCGATCGTGCCGATCAATCAGAAGTCGTGCGGTCCGGACAGAAGCTGTATAACGACAGGAATGCAAGCATGCGATTGGTGGACACCTGGATAACCAATAAACTTCCTTTGTACATGTTATTTAGTCCTCATCCCAGCCTTACATGCTCCCAGAGATTCATAGTTGTAATTGTGGAGCTTGCACGGCCATTAAGTTATTTTTTCTTCTTCAGCAACCTACAAACGGTCGCTGTGACGGGCAGGTATGTATGCATACACAACATCTAATCACATCCTTTGCTTATTTACCTGTGCTCAGTTTTAACATTAATTATCTCTTCATTTAGATCTCATGTTCAAATAACTATAAACAACGGTAAAAGAGACGATCGTTTTCAAATCTTTAAGTGTTACGTAAACATCAGTAGGTGACCACCAACCAGTAAGTTGATCTGTGATTCAGATTATGAAATGATTGAGACTGCAAGTTTATGTGAGTGAGGTGTTTTGGCATTGGTAGATAATTTCAAGCTTTCTGTGTTCGATCCTACGAATACCATTCACCAGACCGGTGTGGGAAGCTTTTTTGCCATGATGAAGCGATAAGCACTATCAGGTAATTCGAAGTTTTGTCAAGTATTTTGGTATTTCGCATTCTTGTTTGTTCGTGCACATTGTTGGTGAGGAATTGGCAACAACACCGGGATAATGATCAAGACTCCCACGAGTGGACAGATTATATTGCATATGTAAAACTAGAATGAACAGAGAGATTTACCCGGCCTCACTCTCGCCTCGTTAAATGCTGCTCCCGGTCCAAATAAGCCCCAGGCAGCGTAAGTAAATACGAATCGATCAGATTTCTCATCATGAACCATAAACTCGTTTAAGAAAATCTGAGCAAAATGCTAATCGCAACCAATGATAAACACCCCTCCCCCCCCCCGGGTATGCCATTGGTTTTGTATTGTTGCTGTTTGTTTCACTTCATTTCATTACTGTACTGTATATTCCTTGTTTTGTTTTTGTCAATTGTTGACACACGTTGTGATTATGCATTTGTTAAATAGGAATCCCTCGGGTTGCACAAATCGATTCATCGATTTGACTTGAAAGAGAGTAAGGACGGCATCTCAAAAACAAATTCGACCACCTTATCAAACAAGATCTATGAGTCCTTTAGCTCCAATAATAATAATAATAATTATTATTATTATTACTATTATTATTACTATGTTACAGATATTTGTCGGGATTTAGACTAAGGTCTACTTTTCAGACAAACACCTACACTCCCTTCTTCTGCACGCTAACATAATGAGTTCATATGTACACACTGTTCAAAGGAAAAGAAAAGATAGGACGAACAGAGAGCACGTACACCATAGCTTGGTGAATTCACATGTATGTATGCCTGGTTTCCGAAAGCTGTGTTGGAACTGGATAAGAATACGGTCTGTAAGTTTTCATGTTTGTCCGCGCGCAAACGCAAGAGACCGCTCTCTACTGGTCTGCGTTGCGCTCCTATTAACCGAAGCCCAACTCCTTTACACACACACACACACACACACACACACACACACACACACAAAATAACAACTCGACTCACTGTCCCTGCAATATGAGCTGGCACAGACAGAACACGGAGAGAGTGCCTGCTACGGTTGATACGAATGAGCATCAGCAAATGAAGGATAAAACGAGTTGAATTCACTAAAATCCATTTGTTTTCTGTTCCTAAGTCAGTAACGTCATTACATAACACATATTCGAACATTTGGTGGGATTCGAAACACATTCATCCCGTAGTGACAATGTTTCCGGTATCACTGTGACTCCCCACTGTGTCGTAGTTGCTTCATTGGGGGAAGCGAGAGGGACGGTTCAGTTTAGTTCAGTTTTTACAACCATTAACCATGCACTTTCGTCCCCGGTAAGGAAGATAGAGAATTCATATAGAGTGGTGTTAGGAGAATAATGAGTGAATGCACGAGCACCACTATTAGCGACACCCAACCACATCACTCGGTGTCTCTAACGATCGGTTACGATCATCATCTCGAGGTCCCCAGGCAGGGAACTTAACGGGGCCTATGTGACCTAGTCTCCTGGTTAGGGTTTTCATACCCTCATATCAGGTCTTAGCTTGACTATTTTCCACCCACTACGTGCCTTGGTGAACATCGCTCACTGTGGCAACCTATCTGGTGACACACGTAACATATACCCCAAACAACATCATCTATGGAGGTCGAAAATCTGCTCCAGTGGGCGACCGCAGCTACCCAAAACTCTGCACCTAACCTCAGCATTGCTCACCCGGCTACCCCACCAGATTTGTGCAATGCTGCGTAGACAGCGGTGTTCAAAAACCGACATTCTATTTTATCATGTTCCCGTAATGGCCATGTGTATGCACTGGTTGAACTGCTGCAGCATACACTCGACCCTTCATAGACAGCCGGATATCGCGATGGCACCACAAATGTCTCAAGTTGGCGTAAGCCAACCGAGCCTTCTGTATACTTGCAGACACTTCATCCGTGATGCGCCCACCGGGTGAGATTTGGTTGTCCATATGTCAAAACTTGTCCACTTCCTCGACTACTTCCCCAGTCAGGGTGAGACTGGGTGCTGGATCAATCCAATCTTGGAGCAACATTTTACCCTTTGAAGTCGCAAAACGCATACCGAACATGGTTACACTAGCACTCAAACTATCCAGAAAAGCTTGGAACTTCCCTGGATCTTCACTTAGCAGTATGCTGTCGTCTGCATACTCTAGATTGAACAATCTGCTACCTGGAAGTAAATCGATACCGCTATTGTCGCCCGAGGATAGGACTGTTTCAAGAGGACAAGTTCTCAATGAAGCATATCTCCTCAGTTTATGACGAGTCTGGTGTGGACTTATGTTAGTCCGGATCTGACTAGTTAGGACTAGTCTAGGACAGTTTTGCTCACATCAATCTAATATGTTTTGGGAACTTACTAACAGTTCAAAGAATGTTATCTACCGTCTATCGAAATAAGATCAATTTCATGAAACACACTCATAGCAGTGGCCCCGACAGTCTCATGGTAACGCGTGATAAACACATAACCATGCACATCCTACTTCGAGGGTATGGAATACAGAATTAGGTGTCATGGGTTTCAAAAAGCAATCCAGTATTCAAGGAAACATTAATACTGAATACGGAATCATTTATTTAACTTCCCCAATCGACAGACCCAGTTCAAATGTGAACTTACATAGAAATTCACATCAATATTCTCCTCGATCAGCGCAGACAAGAATTTCATAGTTTGCGCGAATGGTACAGTAGCTGAGGGAATACAAGGAAAACGTTAAAGGGAGGAGCAAGGGGGGGTTGGTTGGAGTGGTGGTTAAAAACGAAATGATGAAAAAAAAGCTGAAAAAGCTGAAGATTTCGTGAATTATAGATCTGAAAATTTTGTTGATCAAATTTCAACTGCTGTCCCAGGTTTTGCACTGTAACATCACAGTGCCTCTGATCAGTAGCTAGCTTATAGTGTCAAAATGTTCTTATGTGTATCATCTTTACAAATCCGTAGCAATCCTCATGTTTCATTCGTAATTTTCAAGAACAATTCATTGAAGTGCAACAGGCTGCATTTGTCTCCCTCCCCTTCCCGCGGGATTCGGTCACAGCACCAGACCCGAGCAGTAAGCAATAGAGCACTGTTTAACCACAATTCAAGCGGTGCGTGGGGTTTTGAACCATGAGCCTACAGCCTCGGTGCCATCAGTTAGGTCGTGCTTGAACGACCGCAGCTGGAGTCAATGGATAATATGATTTCAGCCAGTTTGTGAAATTGGTCTGCGAAGATGTTTGGCGATCGCTTCCACCGTGACAGTGATCAGTCTTAGATGAGAGAAATGGCACGCTCACTGACAAAAAGAAACAAATCCAAGCCGAAAACGTACTGTATGTAGCCTGGTTGGCAAATTTGTTACCAAAATTTACTTTGAATAATAACCAAATCAATTCTCAAGACCACTGCCCTTTTTCGTAGATGGTTCATCGAACATGGTATGAAAGTGACGTTGCGTGCCGTACGGTTCGCAATATCACACAGATTAGAAACAGAGCAGTTCATCACGTATCCATCCATAGGGAGCTCCATTTTCATTTAAACCTTTTGTGCATGTCCCCAAAGTAGATTATTGGCCATAGATAGGTACATCAGGTGGAGTTGTTAACGTAAAATGTTTGTTGATACAGCTGTATCGTAAGCAACGCAACACACAGTTGCGATAGGAGAACTGGGAACGCAGAATGTGATCGGTCACAGTAACAATTAGGCCAAAGCATACAGGCTGTATCCACATCACACAGAACCGTGAGGCACGAGGAGGTGATCAATTTCAACACCTGTTATTCACCAAGATACGGAATGGAACGGAACATCTGTTCCGGGTAATGCAACAGATACACAGTGGCAGTCGCAGATGCAAATAAATAATTTGTGTACCTATTGTCAACAGGTGAAAGTAGAATTGTGAGGCGCTTGTGGTCTTGTGATAAGGTGAACTACAAACTTGAACCAGCCAGATTTTGCCGGCCCTGTCAACTGGGGGAATTATTCCGNTATTCCGTGAAAATGCAGCTCACAATTGTGTTCAACCGATCGTCTAATATTTTTGTAGGTTTCACATCCCATTTTTTTACTTGTTTTTACCAGAATTGTCACGTTGATAACGGTGACAAATCACACATGCGGTGCACGTTCGAATCTGTACGATTACTTTCCCCGATAATAATACAAAAATGAAATGACATAAACTACCACACACTGCAGAATTTTAATTTTTAATTACTATTCAACTGGTCTCAAAAATGATTTCTGATTCGTGTACATCCCAGTCAGAACGGGGCGTAAACACGTGATCCACACACAACCATGTCTTAAGGTGTGAGTAGTGGCTCGACAACATTTCACCCCAAATCCAAAGCATCTATGGTATTCGAAGATCACAAGTGTTCCAAGGAATAGTCAGTTCAATCAAATATTTCACTGCAGTGTTGATTTCAAAAATATGCGGCATTCAATGGAACTGATGGAGACCGAATTGTGGCATCTTGAAGTGATCCGGAATCCCAAGACCATACATAGGATGGTTTAGCTAACCGTGCGAGATTTCCCTCGTTAACTACATATTCCAATTTTTAGAATAAGTGACAAAACTTTGGTGATTCAGGATGTAGGAAACCATAGGATGATGATGAATGTGAACAAAATAAGCAAAACTGGGGACAGTAAAAATAAATATCTATTCTGAGGGAGTTAAAAAAATTCTATGGACACTTTTATCATTGGGTTAAATTGAATTAATGAAGAGGGTTCATAGTTCAAACAAAACAATAGACTGAAGAAAGAGCTCTTTTTCAGTGATTCGTATTTATCCCAATAAATCACAACATACAACACTACTTGGGAATGACATTGCCTTCGAACAGGAAAATCATATCACATCACAGATTACTATAGTAACGATTTCATCATGAGACCGGAAATCGGATTCAGTATGACCTTATGGTTGTTTGTTCACTCAACCGATCATTAGGATTACTCATGATGTGTGTGTGTGTGTGTGTGTGTGTGTGTGTGTGTGTGTGTGTGTGGAGCGGTGGGGGGGGCGAGCACACAGAGGGAGAGTGTGCAAACGGATTCGCATCATTTCTGCTGTGGCTCACAATCGTCAGCGAGTCTGCCTTGATAATCGCTCGCAAACTTCGCACAAGCAGACGGGGTTGGTGAGTGGAAAGCCTCAGCCCGGTACACGATATGATTCGTTTCAGTTAGGTGTGAAATCACCTCTCCAATGAGTGACCTAATCGATTTTTTGTGTTCAGCCACGCAGAGTGTTGTTCACAAATGCGTTTGGACAATCGCCTGCCCACGTGGCCTATGTGCACTGTTCCACCGGGGCCAAGGAAATGGGTCTACACAGAATGAAACCGCAGAGTTTGGAAATTTGTCCTTCTCTCGCCAATACACAATTGGCTTGGAGGTTAAAAACACACGAAGCCTGGATGCATAAAAAAGTGTTGTCAATGGAGTCGGGTAGTTTCCTTTGCATAATCTCAGCTGATTTGTCCCCAGTTGAACGGCAAAGAAATGTTCAAGGACTTCCGCTTAACCTCGATGCTTGTTAGTGTTCTACGTGCAATTCTAACAATTTGCGGTGTTATTTTATCTTTTTTAATTTTTTAAATTTTCAAAAGTAACGTTTAGTCCTTAGTAGTGGCATGCATTGTAAGGTATTTGCCTGAATACGAATCACGGGAGAAAAGGGCTTGTTCACCAGTCTGTTATTTTTTTTGAAACGTGTTCTGTGGGTTCAACTTTAAATTTATCATTTGGTTTATATCGAGTGCGTCAAACTGGGCTGGTGTACTTTGTATTTCCGACCCGTGCTGAAGATGGTGACTCGGAAGATGATGTCTTGCAGGATTCTGCTACTGCTGATGATGGTGATGATAATTCGAATACTAATGATGATTTGGATAATGACGATGACAATGAGAATGATGAGAACTGTTCAGGCTGGAATGGGGCTTAGTCGCATTGTGCAAAGCTTATGCAAGAGCACAGGCTATGAGAAGACAGCATTAGAAAGGGTAAAAAACCGTTTTTACTCACTGTCAGCCGAGGCATGCACTATCAGTAATTCTTTGTTTCGATAGCGATTGGCCAGTTTTGTTAGATCAAATTCCTGAAATGTGAACGGAATGAGAGAAAAAACTTTTGCGCGTTACATGTACATGCCATGATGCTGAAAACATGCACCAATGTCAATCAGTAATAGAAAGTGACAATGAACCTAATAACCTAATAAACATATACAACAATACATATTATGAAGTGAATTTAAAAATATACAGAAGAAATGAACATGATTAGGCACTATTAATTGTATTGTATTGTATTGAAGCTTCGGCGAGTTATATACAAACTTTCAGCAATCAAAAAGCACTTAGCTAGCACAGTTTTTGAGTCACAAATAATCCGGTGATTAAGTTGAAACTATAGTCGACAGTGCGAAAACCACCCAAGAGATAAAAAGAAAAACGTCACCTGCCCCCAAGATGCAAAAGACGAAATTATCGGAGTGAAACTGGCAGGGAATATGCCAATTTTACTCCGAAAAATATGGACCAGTTAGAAAACAGAAACAAATATCTCAAACTACTCTTAATGGACTTCTGTTGTTAAGTGACGTAGCATCTGCAATCTAATCGAATAACTTGTAAAACTAAACAATATGTACTAAATTCGATCTGCAATGAAACGGAATTTTTCATCTTTTTTGGCCTATTACAAAAATACTGATTTTACACAGGTGACAAGAAAAGCAGATCTGACCCCATATGGTCCACTGTCGTAGATCACCGTTTTCTTAGTCGCTTAGTCGCAGAAAATCGTGATTGAATTCCTCACTGCTCCATTTGCCCACCGCATTCCTCCATCACTCTGATTGGTCAGAAATTTCTGTCTGAGCATTATGCATTTATCATCAAACCGGGATTTCATGTGT